AGATCTTTGATGGGTCATCTTGTCTTTTGTGAGGAAGTCCCACCTTTAGTAAACTCCACCCTCTGTATGGGATTTACTGTGTACCCAGGCAAGTCTGTTGTCGTCCCACTCACGCTCTGCAAGTCCCATCTTTGGTGCGCCCGACGGAGGGGAGGTGGCCGCACCTGGCCTCTCCCTTTGGGAGGATGTGCCAGCTGCCCGCTGGCTTGCTGCGCCTGGTGGCCGGGCACAACCAAGGATACTGAGTCCGGAGGAAGGGGGATCCTTTGGGGAATAGGCTGCTCCTGGAAGGTTTCCTAAAAAAGAATGTAGGGGCTGGGGATATAGCTCAGCGGCATAAGCACCTGCCTGGCAAGCTTGAGGTCATGAGTTCAATTCTCAGTACCAAAATAATAATAATAATTTTAAAGTTTAAAAAAAAAAATTAAGTAATCCCAGCACCTGGGAGGCTGAGGCAGGAGGATTGTTGCAAGTTCGAGACCAGCCTGGGCTACAAAGTGAGCTCAAGGCCAGCCTGAACTGCATAGTGAGACCCTGTCTCAAAAAAGACAAAAAAAAAAAATTAAATGTGGGAGGGTCAGAACTTGATCTAGATGTCACCAATAATGTAATTATCACAAGGGGCCACGGCAACACTGGGGCCAGGGGACAAACCCCAGGCAGTGAGATGGTGTTATGGTTGATACCTTGTGTCAACGTGAGTCCAGAGGCTTGGCTAAGTGACTGGGCAGTTCTGCACCCTGGGGTGAAAGGGAGGAGCCCTCCCTGCTCTGGGGTGTTGTTCATGGTGTCAATTTGAGAAGTTTAGAAGGTTAACTAAGAGACCAAGCAGGGGGCCGGGTCCTTACTTTGTATTCATCCTGAGCCTGTGCAAGAGGAGGGCATGGAGATTGCCGGGGTGCTACAGGCCCCTGGGTGGGGGCAGCCTGCTTGCAACATACAGGCCTCCTGGGTGGGGCAGCCTGCTTGCAATGTAAGGGAGGGAAAGAGCCTTGCTCCCGCCACTCTTGCTGCTTTGGCAGTCTTGTGCCACCTTGAAGCGTTGCCCCTGCACCCTGTCACCCTGCCTTGGAGCCAGCCGAGTATGGACTGAAACCTCCACAAACTGTGAGCTAAATAAACCTTGCCTTCCTGCATTTTGGGCGTTGGGTATTTTGTCTCAGCAACGAGAGAAAAGTAACCAAGACAGAAGGGCTCTGGAAGCTTGCTCTCTGCAGGGGTCGTTGTTATTAATGGTACTATGCCCTCCTTCGAACTTTACCCCTTCTCTAAAGGAAGTTAGAAAAACAGCGCTATTTGATATCCTTTTACCATTTGCGGACCTCCCCAGTCTCCGGGAGCATGCTGGCTCCCCTTGGGGCATCACTGCTTTCTGGGATGGACTGGTCCAGGCCGGGAGCCGGCTCCGGTTTCACTTTCAAAGACACACAATTTAGTCAAAATGTTTAATTTAAACCAAGAGAGCACCGTACAAACGGGTCGTCTGAACAGTCGCTCGCTCTGCACCGGGAAT